ATGAAACGAAACTACAGATTCCCTAATACAGAAACATAATTAAAAGCGTTTCTATTACGCACGCGAACACATAAACCGCCTCCTCACGGCTGTAGTTATTCTCGTTATCCTTCCGAATCAACGGGACGGCTCGGTGTCTGCTGTACACGGCGTTCTGCAGACGCAGACGAGCACAAGGTTGCAGGTGCGAGTCCCTGACACGACACAAAACATCGGCGTCCGGTCAAATTTTTCAGTCGAAATTTTCGCAGCCCTCCGCCACGGCGTTTCTCATAATCATATCGTGTGTTAGGGACGTTCAACCTCACAAATTGTTCATCCAGCGTTAATCTACGCAGTTTCTTCCACTCTCTGTCGGGAAATGTTGCGGGCTGGGGCTTTATTCTTTTCGTACCTCGCAATAAAGAATGTGTTAGGAAGCCATCTGTCTCGCAGTCATCTGCTTTTACTTCCGGTGCAGTTGGACATGCTGTGTAACGGCGTGGGGTCATCCGAAAGCGTGACCATCACACGTACACCGTTTTTTTTTTTTTTCACGACAAATCTAAGCACACCGTCATTATTCCTTCTTTACCTCATACAAAGCCGACCTGCCACTCCACGCACCGTTAACTTCGCAATAAAAAAGAACGTAAAAATTCTCTGTAATTCCACAACACAGTCTATATTTCGTCACACACAATCACCATTTCTCTTTCTGAGGGTAGGAAGGAAAAAGAAAAAAAAATCTTTTCCCATCTCGATTCTTGATGTTTATGTCTTGGTTCGTGTGCTTCCCAACAAAAGAGTCGACGCGCTGTTTGAGGCATAACAGAATACCGCCCCACACACGAAGGGGGCGGATGCGGAGGAGAGAAAAGCTACAAAGCTTCCTCTGACGTCCAACACCCGCGCGCCGATAACGGCGCGAGTACGGAGCGCGCGGAACACCGCATCAGTGAAACGGAAAGAAGAAGGACGCCTCACAATCTCCACGGAAACATTTGTTGCGACCGAGGAGAATCCGAAGCAAAAGGGTATAGCGAACGAGGAGATCGCCCAGAACGGAGTGCAAATGCGTGACGGTTTACGCTCGAACGAACAGAGGCGCGCACGGTTTTTATTTTTTTAGTTAGTTAGTTTGTTTTTAACTTACACGCTGTATACGCAAAGGCGGTATTCTGAGACTCGCTTTCGGCGAAGCTAAACGTGGCATCCAGTTTCGCGAGATTTCGCGATAGCTGCAAGCCCGCCAGAATCGGAAGCTCGCAATTGAATGGAATAACTGAACCGAGGTCCTCTGGGGTAGTGAACTTGCCAGTTGCGCGGGCCGCTCCAACGTTGCGGGCCCGTTGGACTTCGTGCTAGAGTTACTAGTATATGCCACCTAAAGGTAGCACTCTAGGACTGCCCGTACAGTTGTGCTTCCAAATCCGGACTGCGCTGCGCCGCATACCAACTGCACGACGCAACGGTCTTCGTCGCTTCTTGACGCGGTGCACCACCAGAGCACGTAACATGAGCTGGTCGTAGACAGGTTTATAGTTAAGCGTCTGCCACAGCTTTGAGGGCGCGTACGCAAAGCAGAGAACCGATCCAACTGCCTAAGAAAAGGCGTGGATGGAATAGGCAGCGTTGCATGCCTGTTCACACCGACGGCATACTTGAACAACAGAGACGAAACGCAATACAACTGACTGATGTGCATGCGACAAAAACACGAAGTGGGAAGTGAACGACATCGAAGGAGAGGGCATTGCGGACAAACCGCGCCTGCGCAGACGCTTCCATAGTTCCATTAAATCAGCTTTTAATTGCGCCTCGCGTGTGTGTGTGTGTCGTTCTCGTTTGCCTTCTTTGCAAATCTCGCAGCGCTCCCTATTTTATACACGATGCTCCAACTATATAGCCCCAAGAAGCTTTCCTCAATGTAAGCCTGGTAATATTTTCGCGCTTTGCCCGACGACTCTCGCGCGCATGCGCGTGCCGTGGCCAAGCTCTCGAAAGCCAATGGAAGAAGAGTGAAACTGCCACCGAAAGTGAATGTCCGTTAGAACGTATAGCGTTGCCAGAGATTGGCATTTGCAGAGCTGTGCTATAATAGCTCAATCAACGATCAGCGAGCATCAAAAGCTGTAATTCTTCAAGTTCATTGCTGAAACTCGTTGCTTTTTGTCGCCACGAGGTCGACCCGCGGCGTCAGTATACCATTCACACGTAGACTAAACGCCGACCCCAACTCTCCTGCAATTAAACCAAACACGCAGACCCTAATCCCGTACAATGCGTACGCGATTTTCCAGTGACGAACATAACCGCATACCCGCTTTCCTTCCGAACACCTGTTGCTAACTATGAATTAGAAGCATACACACTCGCCAAACGACTGCATTTATACGCTCTACATAACGGCGTGATTTGAACGGATACCGTTCTTATACTTCGCACTGCGTCTTGCAGCTACACTAGAAGCGTTCTTGATGATCCGCCTGCATCGTGCGAGTATCCACAGTCGTGCAGAATTGAAGAGCAAGCCTATAGGTACAGAAAGCGGCGCGCCTCCTTGTACGTCCATCATAATTATCGTAATTATCACATCTGTGATTGAGTGGGCTGCACTCTATAACGCGCGCCGATAGCGAGAAAAAAGAACGGTGCAGAAATTACAGAGGGGAAAAAAAAAGAGTTCGACGCGTGTGCGTTCGACCTGAATGCGTGCTATTTTTATTTATTTTATTTCTTTATTCAGTACAAAAACCGCCAGGCCTGCGCGCAAGGGAGCAGCCCGGCCTGAGCAAAAACCTCTTTGGGTAACTGCTACAAGCACACTTTGCAGGGTACCCACTAGGCCATAAATATTCATAATTTTTGTGTAGTATAGGCCAGCGTTCACTATGCCATCCTCCATCATTCGGAGAAGCGTGGTATCCGCTATACACACTTGAAAAGAACCTGTTGCAATTTTTTTATGCATTGGCTGACGATGATGAAGTGGGGATGCGCCACAGTTAATAGATGAACAGCAAGGCTTTGTGTATGGCTTGAAGCATCGGACTATACCCGCTCGTTACGCAATCCTCATTGTGCGAGTGACGCCTGCGTTGTTCCCTATAGCTGTTCTAAAATGCTTCATTATTCATATTATACGCAGTTCCTTTCCCGACATCAAGCCAAACTTGCTACGAAGTGTCGAGAACCGACGTGGCTCTACGGTAGAATACTAGGCCGGCCCGCTCCTGGGCTCGAATCCCGCTGAGTCGTCGGTGTTTTCTTTTGCCGTCTTTGTTTTTTCTTATTTCGTGCGATAGTGGTTACGGACACAGGCGACGGCGGCGGCGGACAATTACGGCAGCGCGTGACCCTTGTTGTGATTTCATAACAACTTTCGCTGCAAAACAAATTCCCTGGGGATTTATGCGAGCGACCGTATATACCAGCTGGTATGCCCGGGGAGGGGTTGAGGCTGCCACCCAGGATCCGGCGAAGGACGACTCTTCCGACGCGTCTCACGAACAAGTAAAAGATGCGTTTAATTTACATATTTGCAAGATAACTACATTGCAACGAGAGCGTACAGACGCGCCTTTCCATCACAAGGGCGCAGAGCGCACTCGAGACGAGCGGGCCAGCGAAGTCCAGAGAGAGAGAGCACAGCGCACTCCCGACACGCTCCTTTTATAGCCGTCCGTGACGCGCTAGACGCCGACTGTGTGTCCCAGCGACGCTGATGTGCGTCTCCTGCGGCGCACACAGACGCCTCCCGCGTTCCTGCAGGACGCGGACAGCGTCTGACCGTTACGCCGATGAGCGTCCCTTGCAAGCCACCTCCTTGCTGTGCCGGTCATAACACGGCATGGACTTGCAATGAAGTTCATTGTGTGGACTTCTTAACACGCCATATCTTATAGTTCGACAGATCTTAGTATACCTTCGAACAAGGGCGTGAGAACGCATGCACGTAATTGTGAACTCAGTTATCGCCAAGCTGTCGGGGCCAGGTAATCAATGAATGAATGAATGAATGAATGAATGAATGAATGAATGAACGAATGAATGAATGAATGAATGAATAGTTAACGTCAATTGTATACTTGAGCACCATCCACCGAAGTTGGCCTATATAGCCATATAAATCGCAAGCACAAGCAAATCCTCCTTGAGCACAACACACCCGCTCATTGCTTCTGGTGTCGACAATGTCCATGTTGTTGCTGTTGGCATCGTTACGCACCGATACAAAATATCTAACATATTTTACAGTTCAACATATGTATGGCCTTACATTTGCACATATGCCTTAAACGTCGTTTCATAACCTTTCGCTCAATGAAAGAAAATTACACCGCGGTCGGATACGTGCTTCGCATTATATGGGATGATGATGGCGGTGATTATTATGATGATGATGTTGATGACTCCAAACATGGATCATACTTACTCGGGGGGGGGGGGGGGGGGGGGGATTGACCAAGAGTGCATCATATAATTTAGTGAGGACCTGCCGATTTTTTTTCTTTTCCTTTTTCCAACCCATCTTTAATATGACCAAATAATGTTCTGAATGACCGGCAACACTACATATTATCCCACAAAATTACAATTTATTAACAATTTTTAATTGTTTTCCCGTTCCAACTACTTCATTGTGTACCGTTGGACTCACGGCCCACAGACTGCACGACGAGTTGCGGCAGGCTACTGGGGAAGGAACGAATCAACCAAACAACTCTTCATTCCACACTGCAACTTCAATTAGCGTTCAAAAATTTTCATACGCCCGACTCTCTCGTATTGGTAAGTGCAATTATGCCCAGGAGCATCGGCACCACCATCAACCAACTGCCACGCGCTCGCGCCCCCTCCGCGTGCCGTGGAACGGCTCGACGGTGGCCAGCTCACAAGACCAGGAACCAGCGAGCCAGCCGGACGTGTCCTCCTTGCAGCCGCCACCTCCGGCCAGGTCCATCGAGACCCTTCCCCCCTCGGAGTGCCCAGTCAGCGGTTCAGGTACATCGGCCACCATGAGTACCTCGACGACCGAGGTGAACGTGACGACGACCATCACGCGGGCCACGTCCAAGGCCGAGCTGGTGGACGAGAACCCGGACCTGGCCGCCGAATGCGTCCAGCAGTTCTGCTCCGACGGGAAGCCCGTCGACCCGCAGCCACTGCCGCAGCCGCTGCTCGCTAATTACGGGACCATGCTCACCAAGGTGGGCGGTTGCTTTTTTTTTTTTTTTTAGCGAAACGAAGAGCTAAGGTTAGGCCTAAGATAGGCCTAGCTGGATGCTACTTACTTCAACTATAGGGCCGCCTGGCTGGAACATGTTTCCCGCAAGTAATGTAGTAATCTTAAGCGTATCCTTATGCTAACCAACAGCTCGTGCGCATCTTATTGCGTGGCATGTCAGCTTCTACTTTACGCTAGTAATCCTATGCGCATCCACACGGAAGGCGGCTTTCACACTGCACTGGGCTTCTGTCGTTAACAGGATGGCTACGTGGGGTACTTAACATAAACTTCGAGCACTAATTGACGACGCAGGAAGAAAGGTAAGAACCCACCACAAGCGCTCGAGGCGTGCGATCTTGTTCTTCCAAAATCACGAATTTGCACTTGAATTTTTGCGATTATATCAGCGTTTTACTTGAACTGTCAAGCATGCCTTTTATAACATCAGTTCAAGTTGCATTCTTGTTGTAAATGAAGGTGAGACTGTACGATTACTGACGCAAGCTCCTTCCCACGAGTCTTGTTCGCAATGTCTGCACGACATCAGTGCCGACGGTAAGCACGTCAACAAGCAACATTTGCCGTTCCATGCAGGCGGACATAGCAAAAATCGCGCTAGTAGTACAGTTTACTTAGGCCGTCTGTATTTCGTGCCAATTAAACTTTTTTTTTTCAATTCGGATTAGCACTTTACACTGAATATTCGAATTATTGTCGCCTCTACTGCGGCATGTTTCATGCAGAAATGCTTGGTATACATGCACGACGGAATATTGCTCTACATGAGCCCTTACCGTCCTTTCAGACGTTATTCATTTGTCGAAAACCGTCGAACCATATTACAAAAGCGTAGAGATATCTGGACATTGCTCCAGAATGATACATAGCATGATATAATGAACCAGCATGATACATACGATCCATGTACTACAGTCCATGAATTTCGTTACGGATATCTAAAATTCATCGCGAATATACGGATATCTAAAATTCATCGCGAATATGTATATTTTCCCACCAGATCCATTGCGACATAAATGTGTCTCTGAGTGATTTTTAAATGATAAGAAGAGAAGTGAGCCCCGTAACTGTCTCTCAGGGGGAGGACACCTCAACAGTAGCTTACGAGGGGTGGTGGTAAAGGAGGGATTAAAAGGATAGGATTAAAAGGTAAAGAGATAGAGCGAGAGGGAGGAGACAGCGAGGTGCAGGAACAGCAAACGACAGAAAACGACGGAAGTAAAGAGGAGATAGGAAAGATGAACACGGTCGCACGAGTCCGTGGACGGGGCCTCACTCGGCAAGAGCTCTTGTCGACGTCAGGAGATGGCGTTGGGCGAGCCCAGTCGGCGAGGGCTGCGCTGTCGTCAGAGATCGCGGGGGCACAACCGGTCGGCACGAAATCCAGCGAGCGAGTCCAGCGACATGTATGTAGAGTTCACAGGTCTATTTCACACAGCGCGTTCGTGGTCCTCATTGCAGACGCACGCATGATGCTTCGTTCACGCGCTGCCCCTTGCCTTTCGCAGTTGTCTCCGGAGACGTGCCGCAAGCAGGAGCTCCTTCCGGGCCCGCCCACGGAGCGCGTGTTCGACCGCGACGAGTCCGGCTCGGTGACGGTGGACGTGCGCAAGACGCTGGACGAGGAGAACGTGGACAACGACAAGCTCTACCAGCACAAGCTCGAGGGCACCGAGGTTCGCAAGCTGGAGGAGAAGCAGGCCATGAAGGAGGCCCTCCAGGAGGCCAACACCTTCGACAACATCCTCCTGCACAAGACACTGGCCAAGGGACAGGTCAGGATTCGCGCAGCGTCGTCGCGCGCACGGGGCGGCGTTCGCATGACCTCGGGGCGCTACTACGCAGGTCACCAAGAAGCGGACGCTGGTCGAGACGGCGTCCGCCAAGCGCGTCACCACACGGCGCGAGAACGAGGCGGCAAACCTGGACCAAGTCGGCTGCACCATCAAGCGCAACATAGAGGAAGCCGGTAACGCCGAGGAGAAGGTCGAGAAGTCCGAGAAGCAGCTGGAGAACATCGAGAAGGTCACCTGCACCAGCCACAAGCAGCCCTCGTGCCTGTGAGTACGTTGTCCCGCGCCTATAAGGTTGGAATGAGACAAGCGAGAGGGACCACTTCACCCTCCTTTTAAAGGGTCCCTGAAACGGTTTTTTCACATTCGGTTTTTGATTAGACCACTACTGGATCAAACCGTTGGCACCAGAGTTCAATCGAAACACCCGTCATCAACGGAGCTACGAGTACTAAAAGAGTACCCTCCTCCTCCGCTCCACCTTTCACCCTCAACTCTTCTTTCGAGCGCTCGGGGCCAAGCTCCGCCTTAACGGCGCCTGCGTCACGATGTGGCGTGAGACGTCGCATACGCGTGAATCCCGCCGCCGATTCGATACCGGCAGTCTGTGTTGCGCCTTCCGCAGCCAATCAGATGAGCTGGAAACGACGACGTCAGTGGGGCAGAGCGTGTCGCTTGGAGTATGGATGGTTGAAAACGCGTTTGGCCGAGTCGCAGCGATCTGAAGCGATCTGGGTCGATTATCAGCTTTTAAGCATTGTAATAGATTACACAGTCTACGCAGAGAGCGCAAATCGGCCTCTAAATTACCCTTTGGACTTGGTCTATCAGCCCAATGTGTTTGTAAAAAAAAATCGTCAAAACCATTTCAGGGTCGCTTAAGAAGCCTCCCCAATAGCATAATGCAGCATTCCGCTACATACAAAATTGTGTATAAAGCAATGCCGAATGTGAACGTTTGCGCACGGGTGCCCTCAGAAAACATGGCCGCACGATCCAAAACACTTGCCTTCCGCCTCGAATATATGAGGTGACCGCCGCACGCTCTACAGCTCATGACCTGGTATATTTGTTGAGTTTAATGTCCTTAAGTTTGGACAGCAAAGTGTTTGCGTCGATCCAGCACAGTTATATCGAGAGCCGTATACCCAAATAATTGAATCTGTAGGCTTAGCGAGTGGCGATGAGCGCTTCTGGAATCTATGACAGATAGTTCGTTTGTTAGTTGCCTTTTATCATCGACAGCTGGCGCCACTTGACACGGCGGAATCTGCGGCACAAGCTGCGGTATTAAGCGACGCCTTTGCGATAGCAGAATACTTGAGAGACTGCAGCGTTCTTCTGCTACTTGCAGGGCCGTGAACAGACCAACTCAAGCACCACCTGCGCAGTAAATCGGTACGTGCTACAGTACAAGCCTCATCCGCCACTCTACTAAGAGAGAACATTGCAACGGGTACCATATAAGCGCGAATTTCACGAAACGTTGTACGTCCGTGCAGGAGCCAGCTGACCGAACAAAATTCGTCTTCACTGGATCGACCCGAGACCTGGTTAAATCATCGTTCCAAGCACGAGGGAGAACGGTTCGTCCGATCATCGAGCTCTGCACGTCGTCTACTAAGCGTTGTACGGTCCGCATCGTGGCGCACGAGCTTGATTTGGGACTACGTAGCCGATCCGCTGGTATCGACGATGTCCTTTTACCAAATTGGGCGTTGCAGGGCGTTACGGTGCAGCGTCCGGAAACAATAAAAAGGCTCGCCTGGTCTTCGTAAAATTTCTACTCCATCTTTCTTGCGCAGCAGCTTGCGATAGGCTGAAACAACGGACGCAGCAGATGGTATTAATAGAACGCCCGTGTCAAAGTGGAAAATTTACGTAAACAGTTACGTAACGTTCTTATACAGGCGCAATGAGCCCGATTCCCTTAGCTGGCCAAAGGCGCATCGATGAACATGGAATATTGCACGTTACAAAACATTGAATCGGACTCCTTGATTGCTGGGTAAATACGTTTATGACGCCCGCTACGCTCGCATGGCGGGGGGGGGGGGGGGTGCAGAGAATAAAACATGTATACACACACTTCATAGGGTGGGGGTGCCGAGGCAGACCATTTCGCCTCCATAAAAACGCGACCGCCGCTGCCGGTATCGAACCCGCGACCATCGGGTTGGCGGCTGGGCACCTTAAACCACTGCTCCATCGCGGCGGGCACACCACCCAAAACCGGCTGTCGTGATGTAACAATTTTCGCCGCAAAACAACGCGCGAAAGGGGAGGGGGTGGGGGGAGAGAAGTGGTTCTTAAAAGAGAAAAAGAAAGCCCCGTAACTGTTCCTCATCTCCTTCTATTCTTTTATCCCTCCTTCCCCCCACCCCTATAAGGCACTGCGCCGTGTCGCCTGAAGGCAGACAGAAATTAGGTGCCTTTTTCCTCTTCATTCTAATCACTACCACCCACCATCTAGATTTAAACAAACGCGCGGAGTTCCCCAAGGAGCAGTCTTATCTCCAGTGTTATTTAATGCTTTAATGAGCACAATTCCAACAGATCAAGAAGTTACTGTCTACATTTATGCTGATGACATCGCATTCTTTGCTGCTGACTGTGGTATTTACTCACTACAACTTAAAATACAAAGATATATTAACATGTTAGAAATTTGGTTGCAGTCGATTTCGTTATCGTTAAATGTCAACAAAAGTGCGCTCATGGTGTTTCCGTTAGCAGAAGCAATTTCAATTTCAATTCTATATAAACAGGAACCCATCCAGCAAGTAGACCCTATAAAATATTTGGGAATCATTTATAATTACAAACTTAACTGGAGTCCACACATAGAGTATATAACTACCAAAGCACAGCGGGCTTCAGGCTTACTGCACAAGCTAAGTAACCGGAAATATGGTTTACGGAGGCACACCTTGATAATGTTGTACAAGATGTATATGCACCCCATCATGGAACTCGGCTGCATATTTTTCTCGGGTGGCCCTGCTTATAAAACGAAACCTCTAGTTGTCTTGGAGCGAGAAGCACTGCGAATGTGTCTGGGTTTGTGGCTATCAACGTACTGTACCAGGAAGTGCGCCTGCCTACACTACTTTGTCGATTTCAAATTTTGACCGTACAAGCATTTATAAAACTTTATAGCTTACCGGCAAGAAGATCTCAATATGCTTTTATCGCAAACCCAGACGCCTTCTTTCTTGCTCATTGGCCACGGTTTCGCACACCTCAGATAATGTTTGTACAAAAGAATCTACAAAGTATAAATGTGAACATTAGAAAGGTAATTGAGACTAATGACTCGAATTTGTCACGTTATAATTGAGTATGATGATATATTCCCCCAAAACGCCAAGTTACAATCTCTCAAATGTTTAAATAACATATTATATTACTTGGAGCATGCAGAAACTAAAAATATAATAGCCACAGATGCTTCCGTAAATAATCAAAAGGCAGGTGTAGGCATTGCCTCTGATTCGCTTGACTGGTCCTTTTCAGTGAGACTGCCTGATTTAACTCCAGTTTTTGAAGCGGAGCTCGTGGCGATTATTTTAGCTCTTCGAAAACTTCCATCACATCAAAACAACGCAGTCATAATGACGGATTCTCTTTCAGTTTGGGCAGCTATGACAGATTCAGAGAACTCTCGAATTCTAAGTACATTCAAAACATTAGTGCCCCCGCAATTGAGATTCCTGAGGTTACTATGGGTTCCGGGACACTGTGGATTAAGATTAAATAAATTGGCCGATTCCTTAGCACGAGCCGCACTTGATAGTCCAGTTTTGTCCATACTGCCAGATGTTGAATATATTACGGCAATAAGATATCGAAAATCAGCAATCTCCACTGATACAATAGAAAAAGTAACTACATGGACAGAATACAACCACCTCATGTTCCCATGGCAACCCCATTGGAGCCAGTCCAGAAAGCTCGAAGTTTTAATTACTAAATTTCAATGTCGTGCCCCCCCCCCCCTAAACCTGTATCTACACAGAGCTGGTCAGACATCACCCCTCTGCGTATTCTGCGGAGAAATGGAATCACTAAACTAAAACATTATTTTTTGTATTGTCGCCGCTACGCTATACTTCGAAAAAGGTTACTAGTTATGCCATTTCTGATAATAGGCATTAGATTGACGGCGGAAACGGCGCTAACCTTCGGTGCCTCAGTTTTAAGACATTGCCGCAGGGATGCTTTCAATGCCGTTTGGGATTATATTCAGGCAACCAAGCGTATACCTTTGTGATCTTCAATCAAAAAATTATTATTTATTACTCCCCAGGGCAAAGTGAAGTAAACGCAGCTGAGTGGTAATCATAACACCCCAAATCTCAAAATTGCTCAACTTGACTTTTCTATTTTTTTTTTCTCGTTTGCTCCTTTTTATGTTGTTTATACATTACTCTTATTAAAATAAAAATTCATTAGAGATAGTTAAAATGATCACCGAAAAACCGCACTACACTTTCTTGGCCGACCCCCCTGAGTGGGTATGAGCTATCATCCCAGGGAAATAAACAAACAAACAAAGTGTCTGCATCATAGTGCGACACCTCAACAGTATAGCTCACGAGGGATATGAGTAAGGAGAATATATGAAAGATGGACACGGTGGCAGGAGTCCGAGGACGGGGCGCCACTCGGCGAGAGCTCTTGTCGGCGTCAGGAGATGGCGCAGGGCGAGCCCAGTCGGCCAGAGCTGCCGCTGTCGTCGGAGATCGCCGGGGCACAACCGGTCGGCACGAAATGTAGCGAGCGAGACCGCGGGAAAAGCTCGCGCACACATGCGTATACGAGCTGCAAAAGGTATCCGAGTGTGCGCATCGGCGTGCGCGCGGGGCAACGCTGCCCGCCCGCAATGCGTGCGCTGCTACAAAGCATGCCGCCGGAGCGTCAGCGGATGCGCGTTCGCGCCATGGACGGCGCACCGCGTCGGCGGGCGGCGTCAAGAGAGCGCGCGGGATGTTGGTTCACGCTCCACTAAGTACGTACGCGCGCCTCGCTAAACTCGGCCGAGCAACGCACCGGTATGCATGCAGACGCACAACACGGCAGCTGGACGTCACCGGCGACTACACGAGGTGCGACGACTGAGCATGGACGCGCGCGGAGCTGTGAAACTTGATCACGTGGTGCACAATGGCGTTGTCACGAGTTCTACCAACGCCTCCTCTAGGAAGATGCCTGCCGCATGAAAAAAAAAAAAAAACAGCTGCCACACCCTTTCCCTCCTTCATTTTCAAAATGTTCTCGGTCGCTAGCGTGACCTGTGGCGGGCAGTGCAACAACGCAACACTTTGCATAGCCTCCGAAACAGTGGTGCACAGTTGCAGGTCTCTAACAACTCTCGACTGACGCAGATAAAAACGCTTAGCTGGTACCGCCCGTCGCCGTGATTATAGTGTCGGTCGCGAACGCCACCGCGCGGAGCTTGTTTAAAACTGAAGGCAGGCCAGCTCTGCTGGGAGCGCGAGCCATTCCTCGGGCATCTTTCTAGAGGAGACGTTGGTTCTACGTATGTTTTTTTTTTCTTTAACAGTGAAGTTCCCTAGACTCTCGCGATGACCATTGTAGCCGTCGTTGTCGTAGCTTTCCGTCAGACCAAAACGCGGGCGTGTAGCGTTCATATAGCGCGCATATGGTTTAAAAATAGACCGTACTCTGTCCGTACATATGCTTGACCGTCCATTGCGCGTCCATTCATCCGTCCATGTATCTGACCGTCCTTCATACTAGTCAGCGATGATGCTGATGAACAAACTTTAATTAGCAGAAAGGTCCTCCTCCCCTTTCAGGTGCGAGAGGAGGAGGGAGGACCGACCTCAACGTAAATTCTACGAACCTTAGAAGACCTAGCCTCGCCCCATCACCACCATTGACTTCGCCGATCTGCAGCCATTTTTTTATTGATTTAAGTACGAAGTTATGCGTACTATATATAAGAGTAGTGCCATATTAGGAAAGCAAAGACAAAGAGCTTTTTACTGAAAGGAATAATAGTCGACCAGCGTACATTCGTCTAATACACGATAAGTGACGGTAGGCATGTAAACACGGTCCCAAGCGAGAGAAAGATACAATCCAGGACAACACAAAGGCGCCTGCGTTGCCCTCACTCTGAATTGTATTCGTGTTTGCATGCCTACAACCTTTAATCACGAATATCGGCTTCCCGTCATTCTATAGGCCCGTTCGCTTGCTTGCCATTTCACGGAGGATGGGAGAGAGGTGCAAGAGAGACCGTCGGAAGACCTGGTTAGAAAATTGTGTGTAATTAACTAATTTTTAATTAACAAGTGCATGTCTTGTCACAAATGTCTTACGCAATGAAAGCAGCACGTTAAGGTTACAAATATTTCAAGAAAAC